ATAATACCCCAAATTAAACAAGAGTAACAATTGTTGCAGTTTTTAACTCTGATATTCTTCTCATGAGATAATTTCTTTTGTAGACGATTTTGTCCGTTTTTTATTATTAGTTAAAGCCAGCTTACTCATTCTTGTAATTTTTGCATTTTATATTTGAAATTTTTTAACTCTGACATTCTTCTCATGAGATAACTTCTTTTTCAGACTATTTTGTCCGTTTTTTATTATTAGTTTAAGCCAGCTTACGCATTCTTGTAATTTTTGCATTTGAAATTTGAAATTTTAAAGTCGAATGACATGCATGAAATGATCCCTAGTCCAAAGAATCAAAGTTAGTTGCAAGGCCGATTGTATCGAAAGGAATTAACTACCTCGTTGCAATGAAACAACTATCAATGAATTATTAGCGAAAATATATGAATGAAATTTTACTCTATCCTCGCGTAAATCAAGCCCTCGTAAGTTAACCACATTCAAAGATTAATCGCCCCATTTACATATTTCTTCATTGTCACCAAATTTTTTTTTTTGAAAACAATTAATTTTAATTTTTTGCGGCTGCTACCAAATAAAAACTGTTGAAACTTCAGATTTTGATATCGAAAAATACGTAAATTAATACGATATGAGATATAAATAAATTTATATCTCATAATTCAGAATTTTTTCATCCACAATGAAAATAAATAATAAAGAATAATAAATATTTATTAAAAATTAGTTTTTGCATGAAATTATTTTGGGATAAATGGGTCTTATAAGGAGTGCAATTTTCTTTGAATTGCTTAATTAGTTTTAAAAGTATGACTAGAAACGCAAAAAGGGAAATTAACATTAAGAGGTCCGAACTTTGGAGCGCTCTCCTGACCAAACTATGGAGACCATATTTCCCAGATTGCGGCTACCCCCTATATTTTGATGGGTAAGAATTCAAATATGTCAAAAAAATATATGTTTATTCAGGGAAAGTAAGTTTTTGTGTCTGATTTCGTAATTTAATTAATAGTTAGCACTAATTAATTAGCATATTTGAGTTCACTGCCAGGAATCATTACTTACTGACACTTAGTTCGTGAAAATCCGATCATTAGAATGAAAGTTATTCAGGGTTGATATCTTTTTTTTTTTTTGCCAACTGTACAGTCCCTTTCTTTATACTGTATACTTTCAATCTCGACCATTAGAACGAAAGTTATTCAGGGTGATATCTTTTTTTTTCCGACTGTACATGAGTCTTATATGCGTAAAAAAGTGCATATATCTTATGAATAAAAATGTTCTTAAGCGGACATACAATGCTCGTACATACCTACATACTATGATAGTACTTGTGTGTATAAATGCACACATATATATATTGCCTCTACATACGTACATAGAAAAATACATACATGTTTACATGTATATTATATACAAAATTATGCACATATAATGTATGTACAAAAAGCGCTTGTGCATACATTGTATTCAAATCTGTACATTCAAACATATATCTTACATGCATACGTACTTACATGCACGTACATGCATACGTACAAATATTGAATTTACAATATTTGTACAAATATAAAATTTAAAATATATCTATGCATGAGCGATTGTACGTATGCTGCATATACATATATACATCTACATACATACGAACTTACATGCATTTCTCGTACATTAATAAATTGTATTTATATACGTACGTTCATTCTATGTACAGAAAAATATGTTAACACATACAAACATACATACATAATGCATACAAGCTGAATAAGCAAATAGTATACAATAGTAATTACTTATAATCGTATGTTTTAATTACCTGTATTCGCAATTACTTGCAATCCCCATTGCATGTAATCATAATTACATGTAATCATATATTTTGATTATTCAATCATAATCACATACAAATCTTATTCGGTTAACAGTAGTAAACTAAAAAATTCATTTACATATACAATTTATGAATTGTTTTAAAAGTATTCAATTGCCTACAATCCCTATTACAATGTAATCACACCCACTTGAAAATATGATTACAAATTGTGTTGTAATCATATAAATCACAATTTCCTGGATTTAAAATTACCTGTAATTGTCAGATTATGATAACTTGTAGTTATGCTTTCTTACTATGATTCTATTAGTCTTACTTCATGATTACAAGCAGTCCTGATAGTTTTCTACCCCAGGGCTTGATTATTTCTAATTCTGAATATCTGTAATCACTTTTTGTTGCGATTATAAATAATCATAACAGCTTGTAATAAGAAATCATAATTATTTTTTACTGTGATTACTTGTAATCATGATTATTGCAAGTAGTTGAATATTATCTAAAATTAATTACATTTGTAATCGGTAACTGTAATTGACGATCAACTTGCAGTGAAAATGGCATAATGCTTGCATTTTTCGTTGGTTATTCAAAATTCTATTCAGAAAAATTAGTCATGACTAATGAATTTATTCATCAATCATTATTCAAAACTTTGCATAAATTTGTGTTATGAATGATGAGTAATGACTAAATTTGCATTCAGAATAAATTTATTCTGAATAAATTTGGTCTTGAAAAAAATTTCCTTTAATGATGCCCATAATTGTTTATTTCATTTTTTTTAGCTTTTATTAGCTATCGGCAATTCCCTCAGATTAGAATTAAATATGATATAAATGATAACAGAAAAGACCTTTGATCAAATCTTTATTTCCAAAATTAGATAAGAGCTCGATACAAGTTAACGTTTCCTAAACATTATTTATTTTCTTGTAGAATTTTTTACCTTTTGAATGATTTTCTTTAATATGTATAAAATTTGAAAGTTATTTCTTATTTTAAAATAAATTTTCTTTATAAAGTATGAATTCAAATTACGTACTTGTTGTCGTCGTACATTTTATTTGTACATTTCTTGTCCTTCGTACTCTTTTTCATGTCTGCCCAAGTTTTATAATTGAGTCCATTAACTGTGGAATGGCATTAGCTTCTGCAGCTCTCATCGGATGGCTCACCTTTCGATTTACCAAAACAAAATGGTTAAATGATCGAGTTCAGCCGGATGGAAAAGCTGTTCTAATCACAGGTAATTTCAATTTTATTGCTAAAATCGTACAAAAATCTTCATGTTGACCCAACTTGAAGCAAAGAAGAAGAGAGAAGAAATATGCGTCCCTTCAGTTTGGAAACTTTACAGTGAGCCGAATAAGAAGGAATAACTTTTGCTCGAATGATCGTATTTTCACTTACTAAATAAGTTACAAAATCAAACACAAAAAAGTAATTTTTCTGGCTAAACATTTCTCTTTTTTTTTCGATTTTTTCAGATTTAAATTTTTATTGAAAAATCTGATTACTAGAGTTTCATTTGGCGAGCGGTCGGATGTTTAGATAAACTATACCAATAAAAGTAATAAAAATTAATATCTTATACCGGTGGTTCCAATTTTTTTCAGCTGTGAAACCCTAAATGATCGACTTTATCTCAACGTAATCCGAATTTTAACGAATAAATTTCATTCGCAATTGTGGGCACATAACGAAAGACTATTAATTTTTTTGAAAACGTGTTAGGATCTAAATTTTATTAACTGAAAATATTTAATGAACATTTAGATTGATAATATTTAGTGAATAAATGAAAAGTTAAATTTTTTCATCGTCTTGTTTTACCGATGTTAGTTTTATAACTGTATTTTGCGTCAGACAGTTACAGGTCTGTAGTGGCATCTTGCCTCGTTCTTACTTAGATCTAGCGCATACATGAATTAAAAATGGAGGGGGTGAAATATGACTTTCAATAAAATTAAAACCGTATAAAAATAAGAGTTGAAAATGGTTATCAGAAAAACATACTTATTCATTGTTGAATTCAGTAATTTTTATTCAATGCTAAATACTGGTGGAATTTTCATAAATCCATATATCTTCATAATTTATTCTTTATATTGTTATTGGAAAAACCATTGTTTTTAAATTTGTTTCTTTACAAGCATTTCATTTGAATAATTTCATAAAAATTATCGAAAAATTAAATAAATAATGGATTTTAATTGTATATAAATTTACTTATTTACTTTAAGGTTTAGAAAATCAAAGCTGGTTGAAAGATATCATAATTCTCGGAACTTCTGCGACCCTTTCGCAGAACCCTAGAGTTCCGCGGAACACTATTTGGGAACAGCTGTTAATTTCACCCTTTAAGTATTTCTACATATAATGAAAACTATTTAAGCGAAATTAAAACGTTTTGCACTCAATAACAAAACTCATTTATCCTTAGTTGATTCTGTGAAAAAAATTATTTCAATAATTGCTTTTATTATTTAATTTAATATTGTACGGAAGAATTTTGACTTGTAAGATATGCAAAATTTTACACAAAATTTTATACTACCTTCAATCATGCATCAATCCATCAATCAAAGGGCTCAAACGAATTCATGGATTATTATTATTATTATACGATTAGTTTGAAGGTCAACATATCTAGTTTATACTTATACGCTAAGATCTCTATTGATTGATATGGATCATAGAATTTTTTTTTAAAAAAAAGGAAAGAAAAAAAAAACTTTAACTTGATTTCAGCTAGATTGACTTTAAGTAATTCTCAGTTCTATTAATGGCAGATAACCTTAGCATCGATTGCCTTAACCATCGTGCTATCACGGTTCATGGTTAGGGTACGATAGTTATCTCAATAAATAGGTATAATCTCAGAAATAATCAATGAGATTATCGTGATACCAGTTTTAAAATGTTTAATGGGGAAAAGGTATTTACAGTTTAAGAACTACAATGATAATATGTAACCTTTTTTTACATACTTAAAGAACTTTTAGATGTTCTAAATCTATTTAGGGTATTTTTCAAACATTTAGTCAGGAAGAGATTTTCTTGAATAAAAAAATATAAAAGAGATTTTCTTGAAAATATTTTTGTGGATTGAAAATACCACTTCAAGGATATTAAAACTCATCAAAAAATATCATCAATGTTTTATTATAGGTTGTGATCGAGGATTTGGTCAGGCACTTGCTATTCGCTTAGATTCACTAGGTTACCATGTGTTTGCAAGTTGTCTTTCACCATCTGATCCAGGAGTTCAGAATTTCAAGAATAAATGTTCCAGTCTTTTGCACGTTTTAGAAATGGATGTTACGAAGGAAAACAGTGTTCAGGCTGCGTTAGAATTCGTTAAAGAAAACCTGAGTACTTCAGGCAAGTAAATGTACACATTCTTCTTTTTTATTGCTACCTGAATACACGATTTTTGTATGTAAATAATAATTAAATTGGCATCAATTAACAAAACCCAATCATAAAGAAAACTATAAGGCATGTACCAAAACATTTAAGAAGTTTAAAAAAAATCAGCAAAATTTTTTGTCCTTCCTGAAGATTTTACATTATTCTATGTATGGTTTCCAAATAGTATACTTTCATAAGTCTGTCACAAAAAATGATTTAAGATTGTGCTTCTATTGATAAGTAAATTAGGATATTAATTTATTTGGAAGATTAAAAATGCAATCTCACTATTGCATTTACTACTTCCTTAATCCAGAACTTTCATCTCGTTTTGCTTTTCAGAGCTTTGGGCCGTCGTCAACAACGCTGGTATTTTTAAAGGACTTCCTGTTGAAATAGCTCCACTGCAAGATTTTAAAACTTGTCTTGAAGTTAATACTTACGGTCCATTAAGAGTCACCAAAGCCTTTTTACCTTTGTTGAGAAAGTCAAAAGGCAGATGTGTCAATTTGACAAGTATTGGTGGTAAGTATGATTTCTATTTCTAAGAGTTCATTTATTTAAAAATGCTTTTGAAATATTGAGTAGAAATTTACCTTTTTCTTTTAAATTTTTAACAAATTGGCTTCGGCTGATAGTGTTCCTCCCTTTACAAAATTACCTCTTTACATTGATTCTGACACAAAAGTAAGTCTTTTAAAAAGGCGCAAATGGATTATTTATGTTATTATTTAGTAAAATTCATTTCTTGAAACTTTTTTTTTTTAATTGCGTGGCTTGATGCCTAAGGTAAGTCAAAATTTTTTATTATAGCTTTAAATGCTTTTCTTTTTCTTCCTACCTTGGACAATCTAGCTGTTTCGATTCTGGTAAAAACGGAGCTTAAATGTTACATTTCTGCGTGATAAACAGATACAAAAACCAGTTTTTTTTTCGCTTGCAATTTGTGAATCAGGACTTAACTTTTTTTTCGAGAACCAACATATTTTTTCATAATTTTGAACTTTGATTAAGGGTTTAAATATCTAGTGTTTTCTTTGCATTAAGGTGGGGACTAAAGATCGTTATATACTTTTACAAATTTTTTATACCATTCTGAGAATAATTGTTTTTTTCCTATCAAGCAACTTTACTGATAATTTAATGCACTGTTCTTTTTTACATTAAAAATTTTAATCTTAGCTTTAGAGTTTTCTTTAAAATTCATTCACACAGATTTATATTTCAGCTTTAAAAGTGAAATTTTTCTGATATTCTTAAATAAAAGGTTTGAAACTATTGCAAAAAAAGTAGTAGATTTAAAAATAAAAGTAAAAAATATTCCAGCAGTTTCTCAAAAAAATGACGTCGAGGTTGAGAATTCTTACATGGGTTGGATAGGAACAGTAAAATCTTCTTTCTTCTACCATCAGCAGATCAGCCTAGTACAGACCAGAGCAGTCCCAACTTGTTGTCTTCATCTGGCTCGATCGATCAGACACTAGGTTTCTTCAGTAAAACCTCCTTAATTAATTTTAATTGAAATCCATAAAAATTTATATGGCTCGCTTCTTCTCACATCTTGCGTCAAATCTGAGGGGAATTATAAATCGACTATGTCAACTTACATCTACCGAAAAGTACCTCATGATAGAATCAAGTTAACATG